ACAGACTCCAAAGATGGGAATTCTTGGAGGAGGAGGCATTGGGCTGGGCCAGGCCCCTACTGCATGGACTAGGCACCCCACTTTTTTCTGTGCTTGTTCTCCCTCTGTGAAATCAGGGTTTGCCCCGGTCAGATTCCAGGGCTGCCAGAGAGATGAGCTCTGCAGTGCTGGGTGAGCTAAGCTGTTGTCCATGTTGTGAGGGGCCATTGTGAGCATGCTTAAGGAGGCAACAAGAGCAAGGACTCACAGCAGCGGGTGGACAGCCCAGCGCGGTGTGCCAGGCTTGGCCGAGTTCACATCATTTCACAAACCCCAGAAGTAGCATGTAAGTTCCTTGGCTGCAGATGAGGTAACCGAGGCACCGAGTAGTTAATTGTACAAGAGTACGCAGCTCCTAGGTGGTGAGGCTTGTTTTGACTTGAAGCCACCGGGTTACAGCCTGCGTGTGTAAGAGTTCCTTAATGTAGGCCTCTTGGCCCTTGCTGGGCTTGGGCACCTAGTCTGAGTTCTCTGGGATTACCACATTTACAGTACATGTACGTTTGTATTTTTAGAAGTTGAGCTATGTTTACTTTGTATTTGAGAGTGTGTGGGAGTGTCAGTGGGGGCTAGAAGAGAGTGTTGGGTTCTCAGGACCTGGAGTAACAGATGTTGTGAGCCACCTAACATGGGTAGAGAGACCTGAATGCAGGTCTTCTGGAAGACCTTTTAATGCTGAAGTGTCTCTCATATTTAAAGGACATTTTTGCTTTCACAGAAAGATTGATAGGAAGTAGTGTTCCCTGCTGTACACACAGTCTCTCCATCATCAGCGACCCCACTGGAGTAGTGCATGTTACAGCACATGAGCCTGTGTGGAGCCCTGGTTTAAAGTGGGAACTTTTTTATATCTGAAAAATACCAGATTCTCATCAGGGTCCTTGACCCTCAGATGCCTGAGACCATGAACTGCATTATTAACAAGCAGAAAGACTGTTAATGGCATAGACACAGGCCAGTGACACACACTGGAGCTCACCACCTCCCCTTGGGTGGGCAGGGACCATCAGGGCAAACTCCACCCCAAGCTTTGTAGTCCTCTTGGCATGGTGTGGGGTCAGGCCTGGCCGTGGCTGTGATTGTAGCTAGTTCCTATCACTGGTGAGATGCTGGTCCCTCTAGCCTCCCTGGCTCTGCTAGGCTACCTGCCCTTTCTTACTCTGCTCTCTAGAGCTGCAGGGAGTTCTGGAAAACATCACACACTTCCTTATCTCCAGGTTGCTGCACATGTCATTCTTTCTTCCATTCTTGACTAGTCCTTCTTGCTCTGGGTTGTTCAAGTTCCACTAGTCCCAGAAAGCCTTCCTCTACACCCCCCCCAGTCTGTCTGTGAGGTTAAATGCCGCTAACTTCTTTGAGATACCATGTTTCTTTCCCTGTTTACTCCCTGAGATTGCAGATGTCTGCTTTGGGTAGGTAGTCTCTTTCCCAGCTGCACATAGTGCAGAATGACAGAGATAGAATTCCCAAGCCTCCTCTAACAGGAAGCCCAGAGAGGGACAAGATATATGCTCAGGGTCACAGTACACCATAATACAGGTGGGACCAACTCCTCATTTCATGACAGAAAAGCAGAACACGAAAATCACCAGAGGTGCCAGTGTTAACATGGAGAGAGAGAGAGAGAGAGAGAGAGAGAGAGAGAGAGAGAGAGAGAGAGAGGTGTGTGTGTGTGTGTGTGTGTGTGTGTGTGTGTGTGTGAAGTACCAGTTTCTATCCTGTACATGAAAATATTTAGCAGAAACAAAGACACCCATACAGATTGTTTCAGTAGTATTTGTGGCAAGGGACTGGGGTGATAGCTCAGCCAGGGAAGTATTTGCCTTGTAAGCATGGTTGTCTGAGTTCCCTCCTAACGTAATCCATGGAGGAAAAGGGTGTGCACTAGGGAGGTGGAAGCAGGCACATACCTGGGGTTCACTGGCTAGGCAGCATAGATTACATGGTGAGTTCCAGCCCAATAAGAGATCTTTATTTCTGAAAAAAAGTAGACAGTATCTGAAGAGTGACACCAGGGGCTGGAGATTTGAATTCTTATAGATAAATCTTTTTAAAACAGTATTTATTTAGTCAGGCAGTGATGGCTCACATATTTAATCCCAGCACTTGGGAGGTAGATGTAGGCAGATCTCTGTGAGTTCCAGACCAGCCTGGTTCACAGAGTGAGTCCCAGGACATCCAAGGTTATACAGAGAAAACCTGTCTTGAAATCCCCTCTCCCAAAATTATTTTAAAAAATCCATTCTTGGGGCTTGAGAGATGGCTCAGCAGTTAAGAGCACTGACTGCTCTTCCAGAGGTCCTGGGTTCTGTTTCCAGTACACACATGGCAGTTCACAACTGTCTGTAACTCCAGTTCCAGGACATCTGGTACCCTCACACAAACATACTTGCAGGAAAAACACCAATGCACATAAAATAAAAATAAATTATAAATAATTTTTTTTGTTTTTTCGAGACAGGGTCTCTCTGTATTATAAATTATTTTTAAAAATCCATTCTGTGGCCGGGCGGTGGTGGCGCACGCCTTTAACCCCAGCACTCGGGAGGCAGAGGCAGGTGGATCTCTGTGAGTTCGAGACCAGCCTGGTCTACAAGAGCTAGTTCCAGGACAGCCTCCAAAGCCATAGAGAAACCCTGTCTCAACAAACCAAAAAAAAAAAATCCATTCTGTGTTTGTATAATGGTGTGTGTGGATGATAATGTGTGTGTGTGCAGGCGTGTGCACACCAAAGCATGTCTGTGGAGGTCAGAGAACAACTTTCGGGACTTGGTTCTCATCTTCCACTTTCTTTTCTTACTTGAAGCTGGGTCCCTGGTCGTTGCTGTTGCTTTGCTGCATACTCTAGGCTAGCTGGCACACAGCTTCTTGGGGCTCCTGCTATCTCGGCCTCCTCTCACTGAGGGAGTGCTGTGATCACATCTGGCTGCTGTAGCTGACTTCTTGTGAGGCTGTCGGGTCGCTTATCAAGCACTTTGATCCACTGAGCCACTTCCCCAGTCCCTTCATATGATTTTAAGTGTGTATACAAAAGACAGGTTTCATGATGACATTTTCATACATCTGTTTCTTTATAAACTAGTACATGAATTTTAATTTTTAAATTTATTATGCATATGAGTATTTTTCCTTTTTGTATGTCTTTGTACCATGTGTGTTGCCTGGTACCCACAGAGGGGCCAGAAGAGGGCATTACAGATGTTGTGAACTGCCATGTGGGTGCTAAAAATAGAGCCGGGTCCTCTGGATGAGCAGCCAGTGCTCTTAACCGCCCGCCCGCCATCTCTGCAGCCCCTGTGCTTCAGTTCTGTTTGTCTCTCCCTTTCCTTCCCCGTTCCCCACCCCATCTTGCTCCTGTCCTGGGGGAATCCACATGCTTCTGCAGTGATTACATCCAGGCTGAATTCCTACAAGTATAGCTCTTGTGGTCTATTGCCCCATGCTGAACACATCAGAGTCTTGGGCCTAGGAGGAGATTAGCAATCTTTACCCATAAGGCCAACCCCCAGATTTCCAGTTCCCCATCTGGCGCCTCAGCCCAGACTGCCTCACTTCTGTGATGGCCGGCCCACATGGAGGGCTTTCTAATCCGCAGAGTGCCCTGTGGGAAGGCACTTCTTGGTTTGGTGGTTTTCACTCATGTACTAGGGGCTGGAGGGCGGTGTCCAGGGCTGCTGTGGCCACATGGGGATTGGAGCCTTCACACTGCACGTGTGGTCTTTGCTTACTCTTTCCAGAGAGTGATGGTGTTCTGGCTTGGGCCTCTTGGTGGGGCTCAGGCTGGGAAAGAGTTAGAATCTAGAGTTCTGTCTGTTTGGGTGGATAAGGCCCAGTGTACAGGAAGTCCTTGCCTGTCCCATTGGCCCACAGGTAGGTATTTTTGGTCACCTGGCGTCCAAGGTTGCCAAGCATGTACCTGAGGAAGAGAGATTCATGGTTGCATCTCGGGAAATGCTTACCACACCCGTTTCTGAGTGTCCTTGTGTCAGACCCTTAGACACATTTGTTCATCAATCCTTACCACAGCCCAGCGTGGAAGGAACCACACAGCGTGAGTTCACTGATGCCTCTGTACACTACAGGCTTCTATACACTGCTCTGGGTTGGATTCCTGCTTCGGCTGCTTCTGTTAGTGACTGGGGTTGCTGGTGTTGCTCGGGAAAGACTGGCAGAGAGAATGAAAAGCAGAAGGTAGGAAGCAGGAGGGGAGTGGCAGGAGAATGTGCTGTTTGGTCCTGATGCAGGCACTTTTTCCTCCCAGGAGGGGAGTGGCAGGAGAAAGTGCTGTTTGGTGTGATGCAGGTACTTTTTCTCCCAGGAGGGGAGTGGCAGGAGAAAGTGCTGTTTGGTGTGATGCAGGTACTTTTTCTCCCAGGAGGGGAGTGGCAGGAGAAAGTGCTGTTTGGTGTGATGCAGGCACTTTTTCCTTCCAGGCCTTGCAACTGTTCAGTGTCACATTTTGTTTCTGGATTTTTTAAAAAGATACTGTATTTGTTTTTTGTATATGAGTATTTTGCCTGCTTGTATGTGTATGTACCATGAGTGTAGTGGTGAGCCTCCATGTAGGTAGTGGGAACTGAATCTGGATCTTCTCAAGAACAACTTTTAACCTGAGTACTGAGGTCACTCTGAGCCATCTGTCACACCCTGCTTCTGAATTTTTCTTGGCCTACTCTTGGCCTAATAATAATGAGAACTCACAGCTACCATTGGTGGACGGTTCGTTAAGTACACCCCAGGTGATTTCTATGCTGTTGGCCTTCATTTTCCAGTTCCTTCTGGTGTGGTTACCTTTGTTGTTTGCTTCGTTTCCCACATGGGGAGACTGAGGCTCACAGAGATAAACGAGTGTCAGGTTGGGTGACAGTTCTTGAACATGAGCACACCTTGCCAGGACCCGTGTTTCTGTGGTCAGCTGGCCCTGAAAGCCCACTCCTCTGACTGTCTGCTTTTCTCCCTAGCTGCCCAGCATCCCCTGTGTGCCCAACTGGAGAGAGTGAGCCAGAGCGAGCAGCAGGAGGCATGCCACGGCCCCTGGCTGGCCCTTCGTCGTCAGACCTGCCGTTGACCACCCCCAGGAGGCCCTGACGCCCTGGGGCACTTTTGCTCTGCACAGGACCACGTTGGGGTTTGCCATGGTGACATAAAGGGGTGTAGAAGAAGGAAGGAACAAGACCAGCCTGTAGACTGTGCCCCTGGCTGGGAGAAAGGGCCAGGGGCCCGGATCCTTCTCTCCACTGCCCTTTGAACTTGAACGTCTTACTTCCTAAGTCTCTGAATTTCCCAGTCAGTGGACAACTGTTGGGCCTCCTGTGTGAGGCCTTGAGGGGGCCAGGCCAGGCTGGGCCCCTGCTGGTTGAGATCTTGGGGGCCAGGATGCCTGCCCTGGCGTGCCTCCGGAGGCTGTGTCGGCACATGTCCCCACAGGCTGTCCTTTTCCTGCTGTTCGTCTTCTGCCTGTTCAGCGTCTTTGTCTCTGCCTACTACCTATATGGTTGGAACCGGGGCCTTGAGCCCTCAGCAGATGCCTCCGAGTCCGACTGTGGGGACCCACCACCTGTGGCTCCCAGCCGGCTCCTGCCCATCAAGCCTGTGCAGGCGGTTGCCCCTTCCCGAACAGACCCACTGGTGCTGGTGTTTGTGGAGAGCCTCTATTCACAGCTGGGCCAGGAGGTGGTGGCAATCCTGGAATCGAGCCGCTTCAAGTACCGAACAGAGATTGCACCGGGAAAGGGGGACATGCCCACACTCACGGACAAGGGCCGTGGCCGCTTTGCCCTCATCATCTACGAGAACATCCTCAAGTACGTCAACCTGGATGCCTGGAACCGGGAGCTGCTGGACAAGTACTGTGTGGCCTATGGCGTGGGCATCATCGGCTTCTTCAAGGTATTGGGGAGCAGGCGTCTGAGCCGTTCCAGCCCTGTCTCTACACTTGTTAGTCAAGTACCTGCCAGTTCATACTCTTAAAATGAGTGCAGTTCCGGCAGCACTAAGCTCCTAGCCTTGCCATGATGGTTAAATGGGTTCCTGCTGATGAATGCTTACTAAGTATTTGGAGGCATTGCCTACTGCTCAATGCACCGTAGGCACCTGCCTGAAGGGACTTAGGGCTGGGTGCAAGGTAGGAAAAGGCAAACTCTGCTAGGAACTCTGAACCCTGCCATGGCAGTCGCCTCAGGATGAGCAAGTGCAGGGACAAGAGGGTTGACGCTCACTTGAGGCAGTTAGATAGTGGGGGTGAAGCTTGTGTTTCTCTCAAACCAGAACCATTTTGCACTAGGAGAAAGGAGAAAGGAAACCCAGTTTGCAGGTGGGAAGCTGCTCTGGGCTTTGGGGCGTTCCCAGCACCACCCCTGGGATGGGGGTTGGGGTCATTGCTTAAAGCTTGTCATGGAAGGTCTGCCCTTGAGGAGGGGGCAGGAACAATGGATATAGGTCATGAAAGATGAATACAGGCACCAGCTGGGGACTTGACTTAGGGACTATGGGGGACACTTGCTTACTGGATGTTTCCAGTATCCTGGGCCCTGAGCTAAGCCCAGTGCATAGAGTAATGGACACGGATAAGTCCCTGCTTTCCCAGAGCCGGCAGTTTAGCACACTAGGGATGGAGTGGGCCACTGGGAGCACAGAGGCTGTGGTAGGTCTGATGAACATAACCTGAAGAAGGGTATGCGGGAGTGGTGTGGGGGCCAGCGCTGGACTCTGTGGTCAGCCAGGAAAGCTGAGTACCGAGAGTGAGGAGTGGGGTCAGGCAGAAGGTGCCCATGTCCCAAGCAGCTCTGCACATTGTTCCTTTGTTCGGTGCTGGGAGGGCTGCTTTAGCCCAGGCTTCCCACAGCATGCTCTTTCATGCACTAATGCAGCAGGAGGCTCTGATTGAAAAGGGATAGTGAGTCAAAACACCAAAGGCCCTTAGAAACCCTGCAGTGGGGCGGCCCGGTATGATTTGTTTCCCAGCCAGCCCGATCTCTTTCACAGAGCACCCTCTGGGGAACACTGGCCTGGTTTATGGCTTCACAGAAGCACAAAGTTAGGCTGGCTCCATTGTCTCTCTGCTTTTTTCTTTTCTCCTGAACTCCATCCCCTTTCCTGCCATGAACTTCATTAAGGTTGCTTCAGAGCCCCAGGCCTGAGACGCATCAGACGGCTGACGTTTATTGAGAGCTCCTTCAGTGCCGTGTGCTGCCTTCCTGCTTCACACAAATTAACTTACTGCGCACTAATAAGCCATTTTCCAAGGCAGGCAGAGGGCATGGTGAGTTAAGAGAGGGGAGACTGAGGCAGAGAGAATTTAAGAAATGTGTCCAATGCCAGGTGGTAATGGTTCATGGCTTTCATCCCAGCACTCGGGAGGCAGAGACAGGTGGATCTCTGAGTTCGAGGTCAGCCTGATCACAGAATAAGTTCCAGGACAGCCAGGACCACACAGAGAAACTCTTTCTTGAAAAAACAAACAAAACAACACAACAAAAAGAAATGTATCCAAGCTCACACCCCTGCCAAGATTCAAGTTCAGAAATCCCCAAGGCAGACCAGGCGTTGGGAGGCAGAGGCAGGCGGATCTCTGTGAGTTCAAGACCAGCCTGGTCTACAAGAGCGAATTCCAGGACAGCGCCCAAAGCCACAGAGAAACCCTGTCTCGAAAAACAAAACAAAAAAACAAAACAAAAGAAATCCCCACGCCATAGGTTTATGGGTCTAGGAGCTGACTTCTTTACTTAGTGGAAGTCTGTATCAGAAACCCTACATTATATACTAGATTCCTCTTGGCCTGGGGCGTGGACATTGAGCATGGTTAAAACAACAGAGTTTGGACCCTGTGTAACCCCAGCTCCTTGCGTACAGTGAACTCGAGACACATTGAAGAGAGGGGTCATGTGGTCAGTCTCACCGGGGTCAGCTCTCCCTGCCCTGTTGCATAAGTTAAGACTCCTGGCTTTCGAGTTGAGGCTCCTGACTCATCTAGAATGCACGCCTCCTGGTGGTTGAGGCACACCACTGCTTTTACACTGTGCCTTGGACTTAGACTCCAGCGCCTGTGCCAGGCTCAAGTTCCATCTCTTTCAGAGGCCGGATTCTCAAGGCAGGGAGAAAGCACAAGCTGAAAACTCCAGACTCTTGGCCAAATCTTTATGAAACTTAGCAGTGTGACCTTGGCCAGGATGCTCAACAGTGAGATTAGTTACAGCTCCTGCCTCTAGACCACGCTACAAGTAAGACAGTTGAGGGAAGCACCAAGGACGAGGCCAGCACCTGGAGTCACTCACTCCATCAGTGGCATCTAGGGTGGCGTGTCTACTCCAAGTTCAGCAAACACAGCAGTTGCACTTGGTCTGTGGCTCTGACACTGTGCCCCCAGAAGTCTTTGAGGTGGGTGTCGGGTCCTCACCTGTGCCATCCTAACACTGTCACACATCAGCCTTGCAGGCAGATGGTCTGTGTCTGAATGCACCGAGGGCTGGTGAAGGCCACCTGACCTTTCAGTGCCCAGCGTGTTGCTTTGCATGCTGTCACATAGAGTAGGCACTTTGCTTTCAGATAACGTGACTCAAAATTAAGTGGCTTTACTAGTGTGACATAGTTAGTGTGCCACACAGCCAAGATTCGACAGCCCAGCTTACTGCTTCTAAGTGGATGACCTCAGAAGACGACGTAGAAGCAATCTGACTAGAGATGCGCAGAAAGGATGCAGGCTTTCTCAGGGCGGCTTGCCTGTGCTAGGTCTTCACATCCCGTTCCTGACCCTGCCTCCTTAGTGCTGAGGAGGAGGGAGAAAGACCGCATGACAGGGCCAGGGGCTCCAGTGCCTAAGCCCTCTGTCCCCTTCCCTGGCTGCCTGTGGTGACTGTCTTGGCCTGTTTCTTCCTCAGTGGTTCTGTGTCTAGTCAGGCCATCACAGCAAGCTCGGAGCCAGGACTTTGAAATGGGATCCCCGAGCTCCAGTGTCTGCAGTGGGCCCTATCTCAGCAGTGGTAGATAGGGCTTGATGTGTCTTGGGTCCCCTCTTAGGTCACACTCTGAACCAGTGCTGACTGGGGGTGGTGGGGGTCTGGGAGCCTGAGGAGGGTGTCTCTGAGTCTGGGTCTCAGTCTCTTGCCCCTCAGCCCTGAGGCCGGCTCAGGATGGAGACTTGGCAGGTATTCCCTGCTCCCTGCTTTCAGAGATCCAAAATGGTTCCTTATCACAGTCTACAAAGCCATGCCCTGCAGAGGCTTTGGGAATGAGAAAAGGCCTGAGTGTTAAGATTAGAGACCAGCTTCCTGTGGGCAGACTCAGCTCTGCACCTGGCACAAGGCTCAAACTAAAACCTTCCATCTTCAATCTGTTCAGCTTGTGCCAGGCCTGGTGCTCACCAGGGCAGCCCTACAGGTGCCCTGTAGGTGAGCCTCCTTCATTCTCCAGGTGCAAACTGGAACCCGTGACCGCGTTCAGCACCCTTTGACAGCTCCCCCAGTGGCCCTCCTGCTCCTGTCCTTTCTTGGCCACTCTTTGGCTGTTTCTTGACTATGCTGTGCTTTCTCCTGCCTCAGGACCTTTTCACTGGCTATTCTCAGGACTTGACCTCTGCCTCCTCCTAGTTGATCACTGTAACCGGCTCCAAAGGCCCTTTCTCCAGGGGCCTCCTGAGGCAGCGGTGTCCAGCAGGGGCTGGTCTGCTGCTGTGACCTTTCCCATGTAGGGTACCATGTTTTATTTTATTTTATTTTTTGGTTTTTCGAGACAGGGTTTCTCTGTGTTGTTTTGGAGGCTGTCCTGGAACTCGCTTGGTAGTCCAGGCTGGTCTGGAACTCACAGAGATCCGCCTGCCTCTGCCTCCCGAGTGCTGGGATTAAAGGCGTGCGCCACCAATGCCCGGCTACCATGTTTTTTTTTTTTTTATGTGGTTTTGATGGCTGTCGCTCCTTCCTGCTTGACTCAGAGGAGAGAGAGGTCACATCTGCTTTTCTCACTTTACACAGTTTCCTGTCTGTCTTTTTTCTCTCACTATATCTCATTAAATACTTATTATAATGTCTGGTACAGTAAGTAACTGTAGACTGATAAATTAACCCTGGAACCCACAGCTATCAGGTGCTAGGTATCGGCAGCTATCTGTTCCTCTTTCATTCTTAAAAATAGTTGCTCATCAAATGAATGTGTGTTCCTGTGGGTGTCAGGGATCCAAAATAGGAAATATAGCCTTGTTTTCAAGTAGGCAGAGGCTGGTAGGAGGGAGCCTCTGAACCCAGGGCAGCAGCTAAGGCTTTGCCATGGCCCCAGGGAGGCCAGTGCAAGAAGCAGGTTTATGTGTTCAGTTTTGAAGATAAACAGGAGTTTACCAGCCCCAGAGGAGTTGATAGTTAGAACCAGTATAGGGACAAGACAAATGTGCTGTGTCTAGAGTCAGCTGTCTGGAAGGGTGAGGGAGAGCATGAAGGAGTGGTGAGACCAGGGAGGAAGAGAGGGAGTACAGGGAGTACAGGGAATGGGGGCAGCAGCAAGTATGTCCCAGGAGGGGGAAGGAGGTAAAGATCATATCACGATCAGTGGTGGCCAGTGAGCAAGAGAGCTGCCTTTCTGTGTGGGAGGGCGGCCTTTGTGTGTGTGTGTGTGTGTGTGTGTGTGTGTGTGTGTGTGTGTGTGTGTGTGTGTGTGTCTGTGTCTATGCCTGTGCACATCTGTGTCTATTTATGTAGATCTGTGTCTGTATTTGTATATTTATGTGCATACATGTGCTGTGTATGTTGTCTGTGTGTGTGTCTGTGTCTCTGTGTGTATTCAGTGAGGGATATGGTAGTTCTTGTGAAGTTGTAAATATTGTTGACATTGCTGTTCTCACCTGTGCCTGACAGCTGTTCTCCTACCCCACACTGCTGTAGGCCAATGAGAACAGCTTGCTGAGTGCACAGCTCAAAGGCTTCCCTCTTTTCCTGCATTCGAACCTGGGCCTAAAGGACTGCAGCATCAACCCCAAGTCCCCACTGCTCTATGTGACGCGGCCCAGTGAGGTGGAGAAGGGTGTGCTGCCTGGCGAGGATTGGACTGTGTTCCAGTCCAATCACTCGACCTATGAACCAGTACTGCTGGCCAAGACGCGCTCCTCCGAGTCCATCCCACACCTGGGTGCAGATGCGGGCTTGCATGCTGCACTGCATGCTACTGTGGTTCAGGACCTGGGCCTCCATGACGGCATCCAGCGTGTGCTGTTTGGCAACAATCTCAACTTTTGGCTGCATAAGCTTGTCTTCGTGGATGCTGTGGCCTTCCTCACAGGGAAGCGCCTCTCACTGCCTTTGGACCGATACATCCTGGTGGACATCGATGACATTTTTGTGGGCAAGGAAGGCACACGCATGAAGGTGGAGGATGTGAAGGTAAGGAGAGTCTTGGAATACCTCATTGGGCCACACCCCCATCTGGGCCTCTTTGCTGTTATTTGTAGCCTCATTGGTCCCCACTTCAGCCATTTGCTTTCTAACTGTGTGCAAGAGGCATCTATGAAGTGCTAAATATGGAGAGATTTTGCATGTGTACTCTGGAGTTCAGGAGGAAGAGACCCAGGCAGAAACAAAAAATATCTGGCCAGGGTTGTAATCTGCCTTTTAACCCAGGTGTGATTTTAATGCTTCAAAAACGATAGTGGTTATCAGAGCTCCCACAAGATTCTTCAGGATAAGATCCCAAGTCACATGCACAGTGTGTCTTAACCACTGTATGTGGATAGTGGGATGCTGATGTTGAATTCTGGAGCCATTTACCAAATTGTTTGTGGAAGCTCCTTGGAAACACAGGCTTGCATACACATGTGAGCTGTCAAGAAAGAAGTGTGCCAGAGGCCAGTCTTTAAGCTACAGTTGTCCTTTAGTCATGGATCTTACTGGAGACTTTGCAGAGGAGGCAGCACGCTAGAGTCAGGGCATCAGTGTGGGTTGCCACCACAGAGGACAAACAACAATAAAGCAGATGGAGACAAAACAGGGGATTAAGTCCCTGGAGCTTCTGCCTGCTGACTGGTGCCCTCTCTCGGGAGATTAACAGGGCTAGAGGTGTATTAGCACCAGACCCAGATCGCTTTGATGCTACAAGAGGCTTTGGATAGTGTGGCAGGCACTCCGCCTGAGCACTGCAGACACGTTGGTGTTGTCTTCCTGAACTTGAAACCTCTGGCAGGACTGGCCTAAGGTCTAGAAACCTCTGGGGTTGTGGCCTTGTCCTGCTCAGAAATGAACTGTGCCAAGAGGAGCATGGTGGATTGTGACTGACTAGGTGACTTGGGAAAGTCTCATCCCATCATTAAGCCTCAAGTAAGGGAGACTGCCAGGGAGGGGCTCAGGCTGTTGGCTCCACTAGGCTTACACAGTGGTGCCTGGCTGAGGCGGGGGAAGGGCATGTCAGCTCCTCCCTCCCCTACTTGCCACAGCAGACCTAGGCAGTACTGATCTGCTTTTATGCACAATGCTGCCCCTGACACTTCTCAAGTGTTCTGTTGAAGATAAAGCTCACTCCGGTTGAGCCCTCCTACCATCATCTATCTTCATGCAATGCCGTAACCAACCGCAGCAAAGCAGATGACCCTGTTGCTTGCTTGACAACTCTTCAGTGGTCCAGGCTTCTATCCATGTAGCCTAGGTCCTCACTGCATGAACAAGGGAATGCCTGAGAGACTGTGGCAACCAGGCTTGCCATGTCCTCTGTGAGCATTGTCCAGGGTTGCATACTGAAGCCTAGGCTAGTCTGGAGCCTCAGCCTCCTAAATACTCTGCCTAGCTTTTAGCACTCCCCTTCCCCCTGTTTTTTTTCTTTTGGATGCATTTTCATGTAGCCCAGGTTGACCTTGAACTCTTGGTCCTCCATCCTTTTCTTCCTGAATGCTGGGGTTATGGACATGTGTTACCAGGCCTGACTCCTTTCCCCCGTTTCTGAGGGAGAGGCAGTGCAACAGCAAAGAGCTATCTATGCTTGTAGAAAACTAGACCCCTGTATTCACACACTGGACTCAGGGCAGACGGCAAGTGCTTCCTTGGCAGGCCCTTCCCCTTTAGCGTCCTTCTGAGTCAGAAAGGCAGAGCAGTTTCCACTTTAGTACTAAGCACAGCTGTCAGCTGACTTTCCTTCAGAACCGTCACTGTCACCTCATTAGCTTGTGCCGTTCTGGCCATACGGTGTAGTTTCTGTAGTCCCAGCAGAATTTGCTTATCTGGGGTTTGATTAGTGTTGATCTGTGCTCAGCTGTCTAAGTGTTACCTCACTGGATCTTCACAGCCGCTGGCGAAGAGGTATGAGTCCCCTTTTACAGAGAAGGCCACTGTGGCTCAGGGAGATGGAACAGCTTGCCTCAGGCCACATGGCTGGATCATGTGTCTGTCAGGCAGTGAGTAGACTTGGTTAGACGCCCGAGGTAACAGTCCTGCCTGAAAGTGGGCTCCCGGAAGTTTCCTCAAAGCTGTGTGAGCGGTACAGTCCTAACCTAGATGTCAGCCTCTACCATGAGATTCCAAGGGTGCTAGATGTGTTCACACAGGAACACTGGCACACAGCACAGAGTTTGTCCTTGGAAGGGCCAGGATCCTTTGATCTGGTCTTGCATTCCCCCCCCCCGTAGAGGAAAAATTCTTCATGTGAAGACGTTGGTGCTCGTGGTTTCAGTGACTGCAGAAATGACTGCAACTCTCACACTTCACCACTTTTCTATCTTAAGTTATGCAGTTTTACAGACCGAACAATCTCACTTGTCTGAAGAGCCCCATGAGGACAGAGATCTGGTCCCCTTTTGTAGTTAAGGCCTAGAGAAATTCAACAGCTCTTCAGGCATGCATTGCTGAGCCAGGCTGGAGCTCAGGGCTTTTCAAGCCAGATAGCATCTGGTGTAGGAGGTGGCAGGGGGCTGGCTTCTTAGGTGTGCAGCCTGGGCTGCCCCTCGAGCTCATCCTGAGATAGTTCCTTGTGGCTGAGCCCTGCTGTCATCTGCTTGATGTTCCTAGCATTGGAGCAAGGGCCCAACATTTGCATCGTGGGGGGCAGGTGTGAGGCAGATGCTCTGTCACAGAAATACGTCACCAGCCCTGTGTCGCCAGCCCTGTGTCGGGTCCTGTTCTAAGAGAATACCCTTCATGTGTTCGATGGGAGGAGCCTGACCTGACCCCGCCCCCTCACTGCTACCTCTCCTCTGCCTGTCCTAGGCCCTGTTTGATACACAGAATGAACTTCGTACACACATCCCAAACTTCACCTTCAACCTGGGCTACTCAGGGAAATTCTTCCACACAGGTACGTGGTGGTTTACCCATGCCCTCCGTACAACCTCTTGGGCTTCTCCCAGCACTCCTTCCCCCAATTGCTGTTACGAGGGCACCAGATATACTGGGTGGGGATGGGAAGTGACTCCAGAGTTCATGGTCCACAGGGACATCCCAGGAGAGGGCATTTGGGGACAATATTGTAACAGCAAGAAGGTTTCCATATGCCTGGCAGCCTGTGCAGTCTTAGCTTATGTATCTTCTTTCTCCTGTCTCCTCCTCATCCTTACCTTTCAGAATGATTTCTACTTATAAAAGATATTAGTTGAATAAAAAAAATGGTTAACAGATGATAGTGGTGCATGCCTTTGATCCCAGCACTCTGGAGGCAGAGGCAGGCAGATCTCTGAGTTTGAGGCCAGCCTGGTCTACAAAGCAAGTTCTAGGACAGCCAGGGCTGTTATACAGAGAAACCCTGTCTCAGGGGGAAAAAAAGCTTTCATTACATTTTAATTTGCCGTGTGTATGCATATGTTTGTGCTCATATTGCCATAGCGTGTGGAGGTCAGAGGGCAACTTGAGGGTTGGTTTTCTCCTCCCACTGTGTGGATCCTGGGGATTGAACTCAGGATGCAAGGCTTGGCTGTTTCATCGCTGAGCTATGTTATGGAAGTACATAGCATAGAAAGTGAAAGCACGAATGATGTCCCTCCCCACCATGACCACCAGTATCCTGTTTGCAGTAGCAGGGATGAGGTTGAGGGCGCTTCCAGGTCCCTCACATGCTGGGCAAACGACAGGGAACAGGCCTGAGCTGATTGAGGCCTACAGTCCTCAGTGAGGACAGCTAGCTTCTGCAGCTCTAGGCAGGACCACCGTAGTCAGCAATAGGTTGAGGTTGAAAGTGTGCAAGATGACCCAAAGGTACCCGAGAGTGCGCTACTGCACTTTGTGTTCTCAGCCCTTAGCACATCAGAGGGGCTGTAGTCGTACCTCTGAGACACAGGTTCAAGCCTCCTGTATCCACCCAGAGCTTCTGCAGGCTAGTGGGCAAAAGGGCATGTGCCCAGTTTGCGTCATTGGAATAGGACAAGAGTAAGCATGTAAGAGACAGAAGAAACACTTGGCATTGTTGACTTTAAACACCAAGAGCCCACAGAGGAGATAGTGTGCCTAAGCCACTTATCAAGGCAAGGGCATTCCAGACTAGACTTGTGTCTCCTGTGCCAAAGCTCAGTTGACTCCTCCACACAGCTTCTAGGTGGCCCATGGCTGAATATTCCATGTGTAGTCAGGGGCGGGGTTGGAGGGCTGCCAGCCAGCCAGCTGTGCTGACCGCTATGTCACTGTCATAGGCACCGACGCTGAGGATTCTGGGGACGATCTGCTGCTGTCCTATGTGAAAGAGTTCTGGTGGTTCCCCCACATGTGGAGCCACATGCAGCCTCACCTGTTCCACAACCAGTCTGTGCTGGCTGAGCAGATGGCCCTGAACAAGAAGTTCGCTGTCGTGAGTAAGATTCCCTATGGCACAGCCCGGGGGTACAGGGCTGGACTGGGATTCACTGGTCTCTCAGTACTGTTGCAGTCAGTCTGATAGATCTGCTTCTGTGCCAGGGCCTGGGGTGAGCTGCCTTGGTAGCTCCCGTCTCCCAGACACCTCCAGAGGGCAGTCCCTCTTTAGAGACAAGAAGCTAAAACTCACTGGGCTTGGTGCTGCATGGCTGGAATCCCAGCCACTGGGAGGCAGAGGCCAGCCTGGGCTACATGAGAACCTTTCTCAAAACAACAAAAACCAAAAACCCGAATAAAAGAAACTGAAGCTCAAGGTCACCCGAGGACTCACACTGAGGCCTGTTCGTTTCCTGGGCTCAGACTCCTGCCTCTAGGCAGGATGGGACCTCTGGAGAGCTCGCAGAGGTCCATAGGAAAAGAGAGATGCTCAAGAGACCAGCCGGGACACACTGGCCACCAGGAGACAGCAGGAATGTGAGTCCTGAGCTAGGTGCCAGGCATGTGTGCTGAATGAGAGTCAGGACACTCCAGCCTACATTCTGCTAGTCACTCGCTTTGAGATTCTGAGTCCCTCCCTTTCTGTTCCAGGCCTCAGTTTCCCCATCTGTACCTACAGGTTCAGACCACATGCCCTGCCATTGTAGCCTTTGGCTTTTGTCTTCTGTTCTATAAAAGAAAAACAGGGTCCAAAGGGAAAGACCTCCGTTCTCATCTTGCCTGGTCATCCTCTCTCCAGGAGCACGGCATTCCCACAGACATGGGGTATGCAGTGGCGCCCCACCACTCTGGTGTGTACCCCGTGCATGTGCAGCTGTACGAGGCCTGGAAGCAGGTTTGGAACATCCGTGTGACCAGCACAGAGGAGTACCCCCATCTGAAGCCTGCCCGCTACCGCCGTGGCTTCATTCACAACGGCATCATGGCAAGTGGCTGGAGGGCCATGGCGGGCATTGTCGTTATGGGGCTACACACTTCTGGGAGGCGTGGCTGCAGCTGGCTGACTTAGGGGTGTGGGCAAGTTTCTGCTGCTGTTCTGCCTTAGAGGCTCCATCATAGGAAGGGCAGATTGCCGTCCTTAGCTTCTGTGACAGGATCAAGGACCCTTCCTTCCTTCCTTCCTTCCTTCCTTCCTTCCTTCCTTCCTTCCTTCCTTCCTTCCTTCCTTCCTCTTTGTCCTACCCTCCCTCCCTCTCTCCCTCCCTCCCTTTTTCCCTCTCTTTATTTATTTTGAGACAGGGTCTCATAGCCCAGGCTGGCCCTGGGATTTGTGTTAACTCTGGGCATGAGGTAGTTATAAGACATGCTCATTCATCCCCTGTTCTTAGAGCCTTGTTTCCGAAGGAAGACAGACAACTCGCAGTTACATCAGTTTGTGACTATTAGTACACTAGCTGAGGCTCTGGCACTGCCTGCAGTGTCATGTCAGAGACTCCCATGCTACTTTTGGACCTGTTTGTTTTGTGTAGAGAATAGCAGTGACGTATAAGGCAAGGGCAGTGGTTCACCTGGGGAATATTACAGGCTGCAGAGCCCCGGGCAAGCACTCCCAGGAGTGGGGGTTATGTGGCCTCATAGGGGAGCATCTTTCTGAGGAGGCCCAGCCCTTCTCCTGAGGAAGCAACCTTCCTTTCTGGACCATGGCTGGAGATACCATGGTCCCTCTACTGCTCCCTCTCAGGTCCTCCCTCGGCAGACCTGTGGCCTTTTCACACATACCATCTTCTACAATGAGTACCCTGGAGGCTCCAGTGAGCTGGACAAGATCATCAATGGGGGCGAGCTCTTCCTCACCGTGCTCCTTAATCCTGTGAGTGCTCTGCAGCCCAGGGCTGGTACGGGGAGGGGTGCAGACAGTCTTTCTGTAACTCAGGAGGCTTCCTGAGCTGGGGAAGAATGGGCAGATTGTCATGGGAGCCTGGAAACTGGAAGGTCCACTGTCCAGTTGTGGCGCTGGGCTCCTCTGTGTGACCCAGACAAAAGCACTGGTTTTCCTCTTTTGTAATTGTGCACTTCTATATTGAAATGTTAGCGCTTATTGTGGTCTCTTTCTATTCTCTGTGTGTGTATGTGTGAACATGTGCACACGTACACATTTCACTTGAACTTTTCTGGGCCTCTCTTTTCTTATTCGTAAGGTGGAACCAACTATTCTAACATTGTAAAATGAGCAATGTGTGTGTTATTCTCAGCCTGTGGACTGCATACTCCTCATATTCTATGTACACTCCCTGTCCTGATTTATAAAACAATGCAAATAGCTCCTGCCCAGGCCAGCTTCCTACCCTAGGCCTGTAACGTCAGTTAGACCTGGGTTTTCCTCGGCTGAACACAGCTCAAGGTCACACATTTTGTGGATAGTCCCAGTGTACCTTGCCCTGGTATCAGTGACCAGTCACAGGTGGGGTAAGGGTGACTCAGAACCTGAGCCCGCCTCACCTCTCTCGCCCTTCCCCGGCACAGATCAGCATCTTCATGACTCACTTGTCCAATTATGGAAATGACCGCCTGGGGCTGTACACCTTCAAGCACCTGGTGCGCTTTCTGCACTCTTGGACCAACCTGAGGCTGCAGACGCTGCCCCCCGTGCAGCTGGCCCAGAAGTACTTCCAGATCTTCTCTGAGGAGAAGGACCCACTGTGGCAGGTGGGCAGAGTGGCAAGGTGCCTTGCTACAGTAACATACTTTCTGTTCCTGGCATGTGCTCAGGCGTGGGCTCAGGTGTGGGCTCAGGCGTGGGCTCTAGGCGTGGGCTCAGGCGTGGGCTCAGGCTCAGTCATCACACTTCACACTCCTTCAGCAGTGTGAGCACACTCCTGGGCATGCATAGGTGCAATGTGTGTACACACTGTCTATGCCTCATCCCTACCCATAAACCTGTGCGCATGCACATTCATACACAGCCTTGGAAAAGAGCCTTTAGCAACTGTGGGTAAGGGCTGGAGAAATGGCTCAGTGGTTAAGAGCACTGGCTACTCTTCTAGAGGACCCTGGCCAATTCCCAGTGCCCACATGGCAGCTCACAACTGTCTGTGATTCCAGTTCCAGGGGACCCAGCACTCTTATACAGACATATGTGCTGACAAAAACACCAGTGCACATTTAAAAAAAAATCCAAGACCAGAAAACTTGGGGTAAGACTAGTGTCTGCCCTGCCTAGTGGCCACTCATGCCATCTCCTTCAACTGCAGCAGGCTCTGAGCTACTGGTAAAGGGGCTGAGGGAAAGTTTAGGGTAGTCCTAGGGAAAATCTATACCTGGACTACTAAAAACTGGAGGCAAAAGCTAGACTCAGGCCAGGGATCCACACACTTACTTCTGGGCCAAGTCTGGCTTGTGGTCTGTCTTCATAAAGAAAGTTTTGTTGGCACCCAGTCACGCTTCTTGTGTATCTGTCTGTGCCACTTTTGTGTCACTGCAGCAGAGACAGAGAGTACTGTAAGCCTACAGTGTTTACTAAACATTTCCCACAGGGAAAGCTTGCTGAACCCTGGATTCAGGCAAAGCTTGTGCAGTTAAAGTCAACAAGTTCTTGTGAGTTCCTGTTAGTGATGAGCACATAGCTGACCGTTTTCCAGGCCTGATGGGATTGTAACACTAACCAGAAATGGTCCCTGTCTGTTACAGAGTGGTGTTGGGAGTTGAGGATTCAGCAAGAGCTGGGCGTGGGTGCATGCCTTTAGCTCAGCACTTGGGAGGGAGGCAGAGTCGGATAGATCTCTGTGAGTTTGAGGCCAGCCTAGTTTAATAGTGACTTTCAGGCCAGCCAGGGTTACATAGTGAGACCCTGGTTTCAAACAAACAAACACAGCCACATGTAGAGGGAGTTCATTCGTGGATCTCAGGCCTCCCTCATATCCTCTCCATTGCTGTTTTAGGATCCTTGTGAGGACAAACGCCACAAAGACATCTGGTCTAAGGAGAAGACATGTGACCGCTTCCCAAAGCTTCTCATCATTGGCCCCCAGAAAACAGGCAGGTCTCTTGACCCTTGACCCAGCTTCCCCCACTGCCTGTTATCTCAGCCACAGAATTCTGGGGACCATCTTGATCAGGTCTCAGTCTTAAATATTCAATCTCCTTTTACCAGAAATGGGGGCAACATGGGGACACCTATGAATTGCCTGTCATTGTGGGGGTGGAGAGCAGAGGGAAATGTGGCATTTATTTTGAACCACAGCCTCGGAGAACATCTCTGACACCCTCCTAGGAGCCTCTGAGACAAGGCAGGATGTCTAGAGCACCTACTTTGCAAATTTGAGCAGTGCCAGGCAAAACTGGGTCAGCGCAGAGAGGGCTGATCAATTAGTCATGTCTGTCAGAAAGATGCATGGGCACGATAGCTAGACATTTGCCATCCACTCAGTTCTGTGAGGGCAGGTGGATGTTCCTTTTTTATAGACAAGCACAGGGGCGCAGAAGTGAAGTGACTTTTGGCGTTAGGGTTGGGAAGTGATAGTTCCGGGTCTTGAGACCTGATCTCTGTGACTCTGAAGCTTTGCAGTCACCAGACTTGAGAGTGTCCCCCTGAATGTGCTGTCACAGAGAGCCCCTGGAGAATGAACAAACGGTCCTCTCAAAGAAGAGGAAGGGGACATGATGGGGAGGCACCAGCACGAAGGGCTAGCGGGCCTGGGCGTCCTGACTTCTGGAGAGTTGACATCATGCCCCATGCCTGTCAGTCCCGCGCTCAGAAAGCTGAAGCAGGCAGACCATGAGTTTGAAGTAGCCTGTGTTACATATCAGGACCCTGTCAAAACGCAAAGTGAGCAAACAAACAGCAGTAACAAGAAGTGAAGAGACCCAAGAGTTCTCCATGAACAGACCTGGAGGGTTGGTGCTTCCTGTCCTAGGCTGTTACCAGGTTCCCATGCCGGGGTCCAGAGCTAGAAAAGACAGCAGGAAGCACCTCGTTCTGAGACTGAGGAGATAGCAAGTACCTGGGCTGGGAGTGTGTTGGCAAGAAAGCTTCTGAGGTCAAGTCCTTGTTTAGTGATGAAGAACGGTGTAATGATGCATGGTCTCTGGAAGGGTTACAGCGACCAATGATCATGAATAGACTGCATCTAGTGCACATTTTATTAATACTCATGAGGGCACTAAGACTCCCGAAGGGAAGGGATTTTCCCAGGCTCCCCCAGTGACTAGGGAAGACAGGCCCAGAATGTTCTCTTGTCTTGTTGGGGGCTGGGCTGAGGTCTCAGCTGCCCCCACTCTCATAGGCACTACGGCCCTCTACCTGTTCCTGGGCATGCACCCGGACCTCAGCAGCAACTACCCCAGCTCCGAGACCTTTGAGGAGATCCAGTTTTTTAATGGCCACAACTATCACAAAGGCATCGACTGGTAAGTGGCCTTCTGTCTCCAGCAGGACAGGAAGGCCATCATGGAGCCAGCTGGAGTGGCCATTGTGGCCACAGCAGGAAGCAGCTGGTGCTTGCTCACACGCAGCTGAAATTCCTGTAAACAGGGACAAGGCTCAGTGACCGTTGAGTCATGTTGCAACATTGTTGTGACAAACAGGACACTGGATGAGGAAGCCCTTTGCTCAGGGTCAGAGCTAGCTGGAGTGGGCATCCAGCCCCTCCCTGACTGCACAGGAACCTAGAGTCCTCACGCAGGGAGGGTTGCACCCATCTGACAAGCCAGTTAGTGACAGTAGGTTATTCTGACTGGCTTTTCCTATGCTCATGGCCAACTACAGGAAGAGGGGTTCCTGTGGGCATCTAGGAGCTCTCTAGGGGCAGTAGAATCAAACTTTCCACCAGAACTTTCCCGAGGGCACTGTATAGGGGCTAACATGGGCTGCTGTTACTCTCCAGTTTTTCCATTTGTATCTTTCCTGCCTTTATAAGGCTCCTGTGAGCATGCTCTGCTATTATGTGTTATTAATTAGTGGGTTCCCTGGGTGCGGAGATTATGGGCCTCTGTGTTTGCCTTTTGCTATTTTTTCCCACATTGTTTTCTTTCATTTGTCATTTATCATCTGTCCATGTTTATCCTTCTTTCATTCTATATTTTTAACAAGTGTATCCTCTTACCTAAAATCCTTGTGGCCAGATGTCTTAGTATAAGCCAGTGTGTTTGGGATCTTAGAAAGGAAATATGTGTCATTCTGCCTGGCCTACAGGGTGCCCCACCACACACTCACATGTGGATGGTGGGTAGCTGTGTGGATGCTGTTCCCAGGATGGTTAAGGAGTTGGTTGCTGGATACTACAAGCTTAGGAAACACGGTATTAGAGATGGAGAAAGTTAGGCTGACTTCTTAGCCCCATTGCCAGGACTTTGGTTTTATAGGTAGGTCTGCGGTGGGGTACGAAGGTCTGTAGGTCCTAGGGGATTCTGTTTTAAAGCCCTTGGGACTACTGAAGAGATATGCACTTTGTTTACTTTTCAGTATCTCCACAAAGGTCTGTTCTGTGTGGGTAGGAAGCTGTGCTCATTCACAGCAGTCTAGAGAGAGGGTACGTGTGGCAAAGGGTGACTGGAAATGCCATCCCAGGCCCAGAGGTGGCAGAGGACATCATCTCCTTGGATTTGTCCTGCCTGGAGTCACTCTGAGCCTAGCTTGTCCCCAGAGACAGAGAGGTCAGGGCCAGCAGGTTATTTGTGGAGATGCACAGTTCTCTCTCCAGGCATTTGAGTCTATGATGCTCACCAGAAAAGAAATGAATTTGGAATAGGAGACTTCCAAGTGGCAGTTCCTCCCCAAGACCCCATCAGAGGCAGTCTGGTTGGGGCAGTGTGCCTTGTTTCGTTTTTGAGGAAGTTCTACCTTAGCGACCCCCACCCTGTCACACTGCCTTCCTGGGTCCCCTGGATTATGAGATTTGGCCTTGAGCTCTGCCCCTGGACTTCCTACAGGTACATGGAGTTCTTCCCTATTCCCTCCAACACCACCTCTGACTTCTACTTTGAGAAAAGTGCCAACTACTTTGATTCAGAAGTGGCACCACGGCGGGCAGCTACCCTGTTGCCCAAGGCCAAGATCCTCACCATCCTCATCAATCCGGCCGACCGAGCTTATTCCTGGTACCAGGTGAGTGAGCTGGACCTGTGTCCTGAGTAGGGTGTGGATCTGCATACATTTACTCACCAGCACTGAAGAAGCACCGCTGGCTTTGGCCCTGGACACGTCGCCTGGCATGTGATGGGGGACAATAGTCCTCCCTCTGTGGTGCTTCTGGCCTGGTGGTGGTGACAGGCAGAATTGGTGCCAAATATCATCTTCTGTAGCCGCCCACTCCAGGCTTCACATGGGTCCTGTCTTGGACTCCTGACAGCCCTAAGAGGCAAAAGCTGAGTGGACTTAGAGACAGCCTAGACCCCAAAAGCAGCCATCTGGGTTATGCTTGCTAGGGTTTCCTACCCATGAGGGGTAGCTGGGAGCGGGGACTCAGGCAGGATGAATCCCTCTTTTGGGGTCTAGGAAGGCAGCTCCCACCTGGGCTGCCACACGAGCTGCAGACAGAGACCTCCCTATTGCCATTGCAGGTGAGTACTCCAGGGCTTCTGGAGTTTCTGTTCCTGACTCGACTTCAGCATGCACTCCACGGGGCTCATGGGAGTGCTTCTCATCCTGGCATGGGACTAGGAGGGGTTTCCTCTCCTGTCTTCCTGCTCTTTCTTGGGAATATGCCATGCTGCAAGCACTGTGTCTGAGTGGCCTTGTGCCTGAGGCTACTTTCCTGGTCTGCCTGCATCAAGCCATCAGATTGGTTTGACCTTCATGCTGTGGGCCTCAGCCTTTGGTTACCTGGGAAGTTCACTGTCCGGGCTTGGGAAGCTTCTTCCTGCCTAGCCACTTTCAGTGGGTCTCTGCCACCTTCTGACCCTCCTCACCTAATGCTGTAGTGACTGCTTCCTGGGCCTTGCTGAATCCTGTGTAGCGTACAGGGTTCCTCTCTTCTTCTGATCCCTTAGAACTCTCATCCTGAGCCTGCAGTGGTGAGGAGCCCTCTTTTTCTTGTTCTCTAGGATGCTGGTTTATACATTGTCTTGCCATTCCCAGGGGCCTCATCTTTATGGGAAGTCCAGAGGGCAGCAGGTAGTCTCCTTCCTCTGTGGGTACAACCGCTCCAGCAAAGCATGGATGGCTAGAGGGCTGCTCCCATGAGTCAGTACTCATGACAAAACAACTGTGCTGCCTCCCTTGAAGGGCACAGTGGTTTTCTAGAAAGCAGACAAGGGTGTGTGTGTGTGTGTGTGTGTGTGTGTGTGTGTGTGTGTGTGTGTGTGTGTATACAGGGCTCCTTTACACAGGTTTTCATGTGGTATACTGGAGTTCTCGAAAGAAACAGAACTTACAGAACAAATATGTATATAAAGGATTTATTGGATGTGCTACATGATAGAGTCTGAGTAGACTAATAGTGACTGTCACACAGTGGAGTGGCTGAGAACTCAGCAATCCCAGTCTGTCACTGAAGGCCTGCAGGATTGCTGGAGAGCTGCTAGTCTTCAGTTCACATTTGGAAGCCAGAAGTTGAGTTCTGATATAAGGGAAGGACCGCAGCAACAGTAGCAGCAGCAGTAACAGAGTAGATGGACTTGCCAATGAGAGTGACAACAGATATGCAAAAGCCAAGCCTTGTTCTTCCAGCTCTTTTTATCAAGGCTGCCACTGGGAGGTGCTGCTTACATTTAGGGTGGGTCTTCCCACTTTAGATAACCTGATCAAGAAGATCCCTCATGCTGCTTGCCAGTTAGTTGATACAGATTACATCAAGTTGACAACTAAGATTCACCATCACATGTGGCACTTTGAATGCATGTCTTATAAACCTAAGGCCTAATTATTTTTCCTGTCCATGATCACGGGAGCAAGTGTCATAAGGAGAAAGAGGCTGCTTCATTCTAGGAGGATATAAGAAGATACTGGGAGGAGAGGAAGGGAGCTGGACTGTCTTCAAAAAGTCAGGAGTAGTAGAGGTTGTCTATACATTTATATACATTACTGCCCTATCCGCCCTGCCCTGGGCTGTGCATTGATTCTCAGTGATGCGCAGGGTCAGTTAGCATGGACAAGTGTCTGACCTCTGACTCTGAGATCTGCTGATGGCTTACAGATTACAGGTGGGTCACCCTGACGTTTCCCCCTTCAGTGATTTCTGTCAGTTCATCCAGTGTCTATCAAGGATAATTTTGCTTTTGGTGGAGGAGACTCTTATGTCCTTTCTAGTAAGTAACACTCTGTTTCAGCAAGGACGGGGGCTTTGAATGCAGGACTTGGAGCAGGTATTTCCCTCTAGCTGGCTTTTGAGACTATGGTTGTGTTTTATGTAGCAACTGGTTCTGGTTTTCCATTTTATAAAGATCATGTCAAGCGTTTCCTTGTTTGGGTTTTAGTAAATGGTTGTAGAAATGGGGGCTGGGGTTGTAGCTCAGTTGGTAGAATGCGTGCCTGGCATGCATACGGTTCTGGGTTTGGTCTCTGCACTGCACAAAACTAGATGTGGTGACACATGCCTGTACTCTTAGTGCTCAGAATGCAGAGGTCAGAGAATCAGAAGTTCAAGGTCACAAGGCCATCCTCCGCTATACACAGTAAATTTGAGGCCATCCTGGATATTATGAGACTGTCTCAAGAAATAAGAGTCAATGGGAAGAAAGCCACATTGATGTTAGTACTTGCTGGTTTGCAGGTTCCTGGAGCATCAGGAGTCTCAGGGACTATGCCAATGAAGAGCATTTGGGATGCTGGTGTAGTGTATCTCCTACCTTGCAAAAGTTGTAGAACTCGGGGCTCTGGAGTTGATGACTCTGAGGCTAAAGCAGTGAGGCAGAACCAGGACATCAGCCCAGGTCACCCACTTGCTTCTGTCTATCTGTGACACACCCATCTTCTTCCCTTGCCTGCAGCACCAGAGAGCCCACGATGACCCAGTGGCCCTAAAGTACACCTTCCACGAGGTGATCACGGCTGGCCCTGATGCATCCTCAAAGCTGCGTGCCCTCCAGAACCGTTGCCTGGTCCCTGGCTGGTATGCCACTCATATTGAACGCTGGCTCAGCGCCTTCCATGCCAACCAGGTAGCTGTCTGCCCTGCCTCTTGGAGAAAGGAGTGGCTTTAGTTTAAGGGGACCTGGAAAGCCTTGTGGGGGGCTAGGAGCCAGGGTGTGGTGGTGGAGGGTCAGCAGGGTTAGATCACAGGATGTCTTTTAGAGAAGTCTTGAAGCTGGTGGCTGCAGTCAGTACACTGTAGGGATGTGAGGAGCAGGGATGCCAGCTTTGCCGATCCCTTAAACTCTGGGAGAGAGTAAGGTGGGGTAGCTGGCAGTGAGCAGGGGTACCTTGTAGAGGATGTCAGGAGTAGGGGGTGCTCTCTAGATGTTCAGGGCACTGTGTTCGCAGCCAGGCCATTCCTGCTGCAGTGGGCGAGGGCAGTTTGCCACTGGGACAAAAGCAAGTCCAGATAGCCTTTCTCCCTTTCCTTGTCTCCAGATCCTTGTTTTGGATGGCAAACTGCTGCGAACAGAACCTGCCAAAGTGATGGATTCGGTGCAGAAATTCCTCGGGGTGACCAGCACCGTTGACTACCACAAAACCTTGGCGTAAGTGTTGCCTTGGTCTTTGCATTACGCAATTTCCCTGGCCCTTGCTTGGAATATAACATGTGTTTTCTATGTGGTTGCTACCATCTTGAAATTTGGGGGCTAAAGAAATCTTGGGTTCACTGGGTGGTGGTGGCACATGCCTTTAATCCCAGCATTCGGGAGGCAGAGAGGTAGGCAGATCTCTGTGAGTTTGAGGCCAGCCTGGTCTACAAAGCAAGTTCCAGGACAGCCTCCAAAGCTACCCAAAGAAACCCTGTCTCAAAAAACCAAGATAGATAGATAGATTGATCGATCTATGTCTGCCTGTCTGTCTGTCTGTCTGTCTGTCTGTCTGTCTGTCTGTCTGTCTGTCTGTCTATCTATCTATCTATCTATCTATCTATCTATCTATCTATCTATCTAATCTATCTATCTATCTATTGGGAAAACCCATTCTGCACCATTAAGGATTGCTCAGAGAATGTCTCACAGGACTCTATGGGACTGGGAAGAGTCCACAGGGATTATAGGAGGAACTGAAGCTCCTCAGCCTGGACCACAATGTCTTAGAACATGGAGGTGCTTTTTCTGGGAGAAAGATGGTGTGCCCAAGGCAACACTTGACTACAGATGGCAAGTGTCAGTCTGCCTGTTCACACTGAGTGAGTGGAGAAGAGAGACTCCCTGCACACTGGGACAAGGACATGGCCCTGAGGAGGGAGACCAGACTACTCACCCATAGGTTTCCAACCTCTTCAGGTTTGACCCAAAGAAAGGATTTTGGTGCCAACTGCTTGAAGGAGGAAAAACCAAGTGTTTGGGCAAAAGCAAGGGACGGAAATATCCAGAGATGGACTTGGATGTAAGTGGGGGCTGTAGTCCCATGACAGTAGGCGGAGTGGGAGGGTTCCCTCTTGGGGGAGGCCTTTAAACCTTTGCTCTTGACTATGACAGTGGCCTTGGAACCTCTTTCACAGTAGTCATTTCATAGACAAGGAAATAGGGTTTGGGCCCAGGAGGTCAGCATTGGTTTTGTCAAGTATGTGTTTATTATCTTTTAGCAAGGGTAGCAGATGCTATGCATGGCTTCCACACAATAGAAAGCATAGTCCAAGGCAGGGGTGCCGACACAAGGGGTGGTTACAGGATTGAATGTAGAGTTAGGGACCACGCCACAGGATTTGGACCTAGGAAAGGAGAAACAGGCCACTCTATAGGGAGAACATTGCATGAAAGCACATTCAGGGAAGGCCACAGATTGTATCTTGTCTTGTTTTCCTCTTCCTGTAGTTTTGATGAATGCTCCCTTTTTCTCCATGGGTTTGACCTTGGGCACTGGGTTTTGGTGCTCCCCCATGAGCATTTTCTCTGGAGGCTTCTTTTTGGAAGAGGATTGGAATAAGACAGAGTGGTGTTATGGAGGGGGTCATGCTCATGCTGACATGTCATCTCTGACCTAAGCTGTCTTCCCACTGCAGTCCCGAGCCTTCCTAAAGGATTACTACCGGGACCACAACATCGAGCTCTCTAAGCTGCTGTATAAGATGGGCCAGACACTGCCCACCTGGCTGCGGGAAGACCTCCAGAACACCAGGTAGCCTCGGCCACCACAGCCAGACAGAACGCTTGCGTTAGCAGGGATGTCCTGCCTCACACTGAGCCAGACTGACCTGCGGAGAAGGGCACTGGGCCCGCCCAGCCAAAAGCAACGAGCAATACTCTGCTGAGGCCCATCGGGGCCTGAAGTCCAGGCAGGTCTGCAAGCGCCTCAGAGCATCCGCTGCTGGATGTGTGGCCTACGGACCTCTCTGGTACCAGAGGTCCATTCCGTTCGCAGCTTCCCTGCCTGGGAAGACCACTTCTGGTGGTGGAAGGTCATTCCCTGGTAGGAGGAGTCCTGGAGACTCTCTCCTGTCCCTCACTGTGTTTTACCGCTCCTCCTGCCCGTTCCTTTGTTACACCTCTCCCTGCTCCAGCAGGGTGTCCCCTCAGTATTAGCTGCCATATTTCCCTGTCCTCCAGACAGTAAGGGAGAAGAGTGCAGCTGGGCCTTTCGCCCAACTAGGGAGAAAAACTGGGCATGTCCTTGAGGGTTTTGAGCCAGGCTCTGCCAGGGTTTAGCGGGGTGCCCAGATGCACTCTGGATTGGAGGTGAGGGTGGCCATCTTGAGAGGACATATGACCTCTGCATTTGGGTTGATAGTATCACATCTCATCTCCCCTTTGGGGGAGCGTCTCTCTGGCCCCTATAGTGTTCACCTATTGCTCATGGTCACTTGTAGGCCCTGGGCCACTGCCATGCCACTGGGCCCAGAGACATGGTCCTTAGCCCTGTCTTGTTCACCTGGGTGGGACTGTGGTGTTTCCTGTGGTAAAGGCTGAGGCGAGTCAGGAGTCTGCCAGTGTCCATGCTCCGTGTACATACATCGTTTTATAGCCACCGCCTCGGCCCAGCAGACACGGCAGAGTTAGCAAGACTGCTGTTCACTGCTTTGCCCAGCAACCTGTGGCCGAGGGTCCCCTGAGACCCCCTTAACCTCCCAAATACTAAGAAGCTAAAGTATTTTAATATTTTGTGTTTTTTTTTTCTTGGTGCCAGAGTTTATACCCTGGGTGCTGGGGTCGCACTGTGTTTTATATATATATATATATATATTATGTGTATATATATATTATATTTTTTTTGGTTGGGTTTGTTTTTAATTCAGTCATACACAATGGTGGCAAGCCCTAGCCTCAAAGGGTGTCATATCTTAATGCTAGAGAATGAGTTGGAAGGAAAGACGAGTGTTTATGTCAGAGTCTAGGCCTCAGGGAGATGGCTTGAAGGGTCCCTCTTCCCTCTCCCACAGAGGGAGCAGAGCCGGTAAGCTGGAAAGGAAGAGCAACTCCAGGAAGTCTGGGTTTACAAGCCTAGTGGCCCTGGGGTGTTTGGGAAAAGCTGGGCTGTGGGAGCTGCCCCTCCCCCTCACATGGTGCTAGGTTGGGACTGCCTTTAACAATGTGAAGTGACTGAGCTTGGGTTGCCTTTCCCTGCCCCCTCAACTGCCAATTCAGTATCCACCAGGCATCTAGGACATTCTGACACCCTGGGCTTGGAAGGGTCCCAAGATGGGCACAAAGTAGGTTCAGGAATGGGAGGTGGCCTTGGTCAATGTCACAGAGCTGTTGGAAGCAGTGCCGAGAGCTAACTTCAGGCCACTGCTTCTGAGCCCAGTGCTCTTCCAGTACCACACTGCCTCTGAGCCCACCCTCGGGGCCCTCCTGTGTTCCAGGTTCCTGTCTTTCCCTCAGTCACAGCGTTGGTCATTCCAGGACATGGGGACAAACCACTCTTTCCCAGCCAGGTGCCTTTGAGCCTTCCCCTTCCAAGACCTGCACACCACTGTTCCTGCTGTGTTCTCTTGCTTCCGGCATTCATCCATCCTGGTGGCTGTCTTCATTCTGAGCTAGTCTCTCCTTGAGCTCTCCACTGCTGTGGAGAGTGGGAGATGCTCAGGGGAATCTGCATGTGTGGTTTTGGTGTGTAGAGCTGTGTCACGTCATGTTTCTCATTGGAGTCTTGAGCTTGTGGACTGCTCACTACACAGTACCTGAGGACAGGGTTGACTATGCTCAAACACCCTGCCAGCAAGCTGGACCAGACTCAGAGACAGGCCAGCGTGTGCCCTTAGCCTCACTTCCCATCATCGGTGAGGATGGCTTTTGTATTCTGAAAGTTACTCTCTGTATGAGACCCTGTGAGAGCTGAGGTAGGGTGGTTGGAGAGGCCCCTGTATAGCCTGCAGCTCCCTTAGCCTGTGCCTCTGGCCTCAGGTGGAAGCTGGCAGGTTGGAGACCCTGGCAGACAGAGGAGCTACTGTCTGTGGTCTGTTTCCTTCTGAGACCCCCATCTTCTCTCAGCCTGTAGGTTATTGCTGCTACTATGTTCCTTCATGCTACTGGACCCAGACTCTGCCCCAGCTTGCAGACATTGGGTCTTGGAAAACAGATACGTTTGTTCTAGGATCTCTCAGCTAGAGTGTCCACTGATTGACTGGAAGCATTGGAAAATTAAAAAAAAAAGTTTGAGGGAATTCTTTTCAGTTATTCAGGCTGTTTCCCTGTCCCTTCCACACTCTCTACCAGCAGCCTTTGCCTTATGGGTGCAGATCACCTGCAACTGCCTCAGTCATTCCAGGTTCTAGAGCTTTCCCTGGGGCAGGCACCTCTGAGAGCATGAAGTCAAAATGGCCCTTTTCACACCCTGATGTATGAGCAGCGGGTGCTTCCAGTGGAGTAAGCTGCTGGCCCATCCCACCCTAGAACTCCACAGCCATGTCAGTGAGCAGAGCAAGTTCAGAACCGCCTCAGCCAGTGTTTGGTGGCGATTGGTGGCGAGTGCCAGCCACCTTCATCTGGACTGAAGGAGGTTAGCATTCGCCAGCTTGTCTTCTGTTCCCTGTGCATGTGTGTGTTCAAACTGAGCTGCAGGTACATGAGACTGTTACCCTCGGGTTGCCCTGAGATTAGGTAAGGGCTTTCTGCCAAACCAGCCAGCGCCACAGTAGTCCCTACCCACTAACAGCTGCCGTCTTGTCTGTACCCAAAGGTCCCTGCCACCCTATCCCGCCCCCCAGCAATTATACCCGGTTTTAGTGTCAGATCTAGTCAGGGCAAGAACATTGTATTGTATTTTTAAAAGTTTCTTTGAATTCTAAAAAGTTTTCCCTCTGCCCATCTGATTTTTTTTAAATGTTTGGTTTTTGTTTATTTGAGACAAGGTCTCATTATGTAGTCTTGGCTAGCCTGGAATTTGCTATGTAGACCAGGTTAGCCCTGGAACTCATAGAGATCCACTTGACTCTCAAGAGCTGAGATTAAATGTGTGCACTTATACCAGGTCCAGTCCAAAATGGCATTTTTGTTTGTTTGTTTTTGAGACAGGGTGTCACCATGTAACTCTGGCTGTCCTGGAAATTGCTATGTGAACCAGCCTGTCTTTGAACTCAGAGATCCACCTGCCTCTGCCTCCCAAGTGCTGGCATTAAAGGTGTGCGCCACCACTGCCAGGCCCCAAATGGTGTTATTTTAAGGCCAGAGGGTCTGTTGTCATTTAGAAGTTCCACATTCCAGACCCAGTTGTTTCCTCCTAGTCCTCGAACCCACATGTTTTCAAGGGTAACTTTGATTTTTTGTGCTAATGTGGCATTTCCCTCCTGCCTAAGGCATGCCACCTGTGGCAAGGGCCAAACCAGCTTGGAGGAGGGGAAAGGGCTCCCTGAAGGGACAGCGTCACATTGGGAGGGTCTGAGGGCACTGTGGGGTGGGGTGGCCTGTTGAACTGCCCCAGGGAGGCCAGGGTGGACACAGTGTTGTCAGAATGATTGTGTACACCTTGGAGGAGCCAGGCTGCCCATGCTGAGCACAGCATTCGTGTTTCTCCATGTCTTTCCTTCTCTCTGTCTTTGTTTTGGCTTTGTCCCTGCTTCTGGTCTGTGGTTCTGGGGTCTTCACTTTCTAGATGGTCCGTGTGCACTGGAGCAAGAATAAGCCCTCAGCTTATGACAGGAAGGGCTAGATGGAAGTTTCCTGCTCTAGCTGAGATGTGAGGAGAGCACTGGGTACAGTGGGTGGTCATGTGACAGTCTTCCTCCCGAGGCCCCAGCTTCCCCTTCCATAAAACGAGGAGATGGAGACTACAGCAGGGGTTCCCACATGTCCATGCAAGACTTAACTGTACTCTGTGTGAAATGAGGTTAGGAGTTTGCCCCTCATCCCTCACCTCCAGGCCTTCCATGCAGTGCTGGGGTCAAGGTTGTTTGGCTTTGGGCTTGATGCCCTTGCCAGCTCCAAGCAGGCCGGGGGCAATGACTGTGTGTGTCAGCTCTGCTGAGGTCCAGCGTGAAGGCCAGGGGAGACTCCCCACAGTGTTTCTAGAAGTTCACTTCTCCCTCTTCTCTCCCTGGCCTGGAGGAGGCCACCAGAGGAAAGGGTTTTGTATGACTGAGCTAGCTTTTCTTATGGGCAAGAGGGCTCTTTTTGTAATTTGTGCATGAAATTCATGTTATTTCCTGGGGAGAGAAGAGGGCCAACTGAGTGGGGTGGGGGGCACACTTGGGAGGCAGGCAGAGGTTTCCCTTCCCTGCAGGGGTGGGAAGGGGTTGCAGAGGGCATGCTACCCAGCTCACCTGAAGAGGGCTCTTGAACCAGCCGTTTTGGGTTGTGTTAAACATGGGAACTTTCCTCCATTAATGTACAATCTTGAACTAACTGCTAATAAAATGGGATTCTGTTTGTACATACTGGTCCTGTTTTTGTGTCTGACTTTTGCCTGCTAGGAAGGTGGAGATAGGAAGATTTTCATCATGGCCCAAACTAGCTCAGTTTGTATCCTGATTTGGTCAGGACAGCGCATTTCCCCTGCATTCTAAATCAACGCCTTTTCAGATGCTGTAGAGGCCTGCCCCAGGGCAACCATGCAGTGTCTCAGATAGATGACCAAGAGCCTTTGGGCACAGGGTTGTCAGTGCTAGGCGTGCCCACTGTCCCAAGAGGACCCTCAGAGTCTAGAGATGTTTCTGCCATTCATTTCTTTCATGACTGGGGACACACCACTTTTACTTTTTGATTGATAGTTCCCTTGTCTTTTAGGATGTGAATTGAGTTGGATTTAGTGGCCTCACCTAGAGAATGTCCCAGGCCCTGACTTTAGAGATACCAGCAGGTATGGACAAATGGACAAGGCATTTTGAGCAAACTTCTGGGGACTCAGACTGAGATGGAAGGTTTTATAGGTTCTTCACTATCCAAGAAAACCTTAGGAAAAATTAGTAGTTGTCATATCTCCCTCCCCCCCACTTCCAGCTTACTGAGGACATGCCTTGAGAATATCCTAGAGAGGACCAGAGTCTTCCCAGCAGAGAGACTCTGCAGGCCCAATCCCAGAATCCTCTGGGGAAGTGGGCGTTCCAGGCACCTAGTCCAAACCCACTTACCCAGAATTTCTGTAAGATCAAGGAGTGTATATTCAAGAAACTCCCTGAAGCTCAGAAAGCTTTGGGAACATTGAGTCAAGGTCCCAAGTGTACGCCAGAGAATGTGCCAACCGCCACCTTGAAAAAGAGGACAGGTGTCCTGGACACACCTGGGAGGAGAAGGGAGCCCAGGTTCCAGGTGAGCACACCAAGCTCCAACAAACTGGCCGACAGCAAGTGTAACATGCATGGGTCATGAGACACCGTCGTCCAGAATGGCTGGAGGCTGTGCTGCCAGGAGCAGACAGACTTTCCGGAGTCACTTAACAGGAACGGGCTAAAGACTGGCGAGCCGTATTTGGAGCAAGGGTGAGGTTGATTCTGTCTCAGCCTCATCTCTCATGCTATTCTGGAATTCTAAGATTCCTTGAAATAGAAAAACCTTGCTCAGCTGTTTGCAGGGTAATCAAGAGTAGTACAAATTCTGAGGGGACGGGAAGAGTTGTACAATACCACCAGCTCAGTGAGTGGAGATCCACCAGACCCTCTACCCTGGACAGCGAGGCGTCCACCCCCTCAGAATGCCAGTTAACCAAGTGCCCAAGCTTCCGGAGGACACAGTTCCTTGGGAAAGCCTTAGGGTAATTTTCCAGTTTGTTTTCTCTTGTTTCGGTAAACACCATGACCAAAAACAACTTGGGGGGAAAGGGTTTATGTCAGACACGCTGAGGGAAGCAGGCCAGGGACTCAAAGCTGGGATCTGGAAGCAGGATCTGAAGAGGAGTGATCTTCCTGGCTTCAGTCTACTTATATGCCCAGGGCCACTGGCCTGGTGGCAGTACCTACAGCAGGCTAGACACACATCAAGCATCTATCGAGGGTTGCCTGTAGGCCAGTCTGGTAGGGGCATTTTCTCCATTTAGGTTCCTTTCTCAAATGACTCTAGTTTGTCTCCAGTTGACAAGAGAGCTAACTAACCAACTTGAAAACTTGACATACAAACACATCACTATTATAGCATAACCTTTTCTTTCTTGTCCCTAAGATACCATGTTAATGTTACAATCACAACATCAGACATTTCAGCATTTAAAGTCCCAAAGTCTTTAAAATACCCAAAGTCTCTTTAAAAAAAAAAAAAAAGAGGTTCCCTCTCCTCAGATGACTCTAGCTTGCGTCAGATTGACAAAGAACCAACAGCACAGGTAAGTATGTTTCCTAAGAGCCAAGTGCCAGGAACAGCCCGTGATCCAGGACCCATACGGTGTGACAAGTCAAGCACCAGGACCTGAGTGTGATCCTCAGAACCCACGTTTTAAAACAACTAAAAGACCCGGTCATGATGGCATAGCTTGCAATTCCAGTGACGGGGAAGCACACAGGTGGGAGCTTGCAGACCAGCCGCTCTAGCATACTTGGCCATTAGGCTAACGAGAGACTCCTGCCTCCCCCAAAGAAAGGTGGCTAGCTGAAGAATGACACCCGACATCTGGGCAGCGACACGTGCATCTGCTACACATTCGCACACATGCACACGAACTGCCTCAGCCTCTAAGTCTTAGGCAATTTCTTTGTGGCCATTTGTGTAACAAGAATGTTAGCATGTTTTTCCTGGGAATATAAATGTGTTTCCTACCAAGACAACCACAATGGCTGCTTCCAGAGGAAGTAAAGGAAACTTGGAAGAGGGGTATTTTCTTTTTTGGGGGGGAGGGTTGTTTTGTTTTGTTTTTTGGTTTTTCGAGACAGGGTTTCTCTGTGGCTTTGGAGGCTGTCCTGGAACTAGCTCTCGTAGACCAAGCTGGCCTCGAACTCACAAAGATCTGCCTGCCTCTGCCTCCTGAGTGCTGGGACTAAAGGCGTGCACCACCAACGCCTGGCTAGAGGGGTATTTTCTAAGGGAACTTTAGCTTCTGCTCAGACATCACTTGTGGGATCAAAACTCTAGCAGAAGCAGGAAAGGGGGCTCAAGACAGCTTGACTTGGGATGGCGTGTTAGGGGCTGGTGCTGCGTTCCACCTGACCCTAAGGCTCCTTCTAGGAAGGGTTCTGCAGGCCCAGGGGAGGACTACGCCATTTGTCCTGGACACTTGCCAAGACCCCCTAGGCTAAGAGCCTGACTGTGATTGCGGGCCAGCCAGCTCCCTTTGGCGTTGGTCCCACTCTCCCAGGGATATTAGAGCTGTAATCACCAGCATTGAAAAGACTGACATTGTGGGGCTCCTGATGAGATGCCCTGGGGACCTGGCTTTCTACCTGTGAAGTCAACATTGTAGATCCCAAGAGGAAACCAGAGATACGTCCTCATCAAGACAGTTTGCCAAGTAACCATCTGAAAATCTAATAATGGCAAGGCTGCGTAATGGCTCACCGGTGACCCGGGAAATGAACCTGGACCATTAAATAATTAGCTATGAAGGACAATCTGTGAATCTGGGCTTTTCACTCTAGGGGAATAGTGTTCTCTCAAAGTTAAGCTCTCTTATTTTGGCTATTATACTGGTATTTAGGAGTTGGTCACTGTTAAGAGTACATACTGAAGCAGAATGTCACACCTGCTTGTCACACCTGCACATGGGAGCTGAGGCGAGAGGATTGCCATGAATTTGAGGCCAGCCTGGGCTAATAGTAAGTACACACTGAAATATTTCGTGTTTAGGAGTAACAGGGAAGAAAGCAAGCTGAATTTTGGTACGTGTGGGGTTACGGTCTAAGATGTGCCCACCAGGGGGCACTCTCAGCTCAGTTTCTGGAAGACTTGTGCGCCTCACCAGATGAGGCCTGTAGTTAATGTGAGGCAGCATTACACTATGCTGATAGGACATTAAAGAAGTGGGAAAATAATAAAAGGAACTTCCCACTTGCTGGTCAGGCACTCTGCTCCTGGGAGCTGCCCTCTCAGTACTTGTAACAAGGCCTTGAGGCAGATATTCTCACCATTCTATTGCAGACCCAAAGTCTGAGAGGTTAGATAACGGCCAGGATGGCCAACTTGCGACTCCTCAGCCCCAAGTCCTCTCTGTGGTCCTGTCTCCTGGGGCTGAGGCTGGGAAATAGCCCTGGCCTTCAGACAAGCAACGTGCAGTGTCCTTGGGACAGAGGAACAATTCCCTGTGCTTGGCACTGTTCCTCCCAGTCTTGGGATGGGCCACTTTGGGTCCTTAAAGCTATAAACATTCCAGAGCCTAAAAGAAAACCAACAAAAGTATAGCAGAAAGTAATAATACTCAGCCCCAGGCCCTTGCTTCAGTGCAAACCACCACTACTGGATGTGTAGATCTTTCCAGAATTACTTTACATGTGTGAACACGTAAGTAAACACATCCTCCACTGGTTTGTGCTCTTCGTGTTATTTTCCATTCTTTTTCATAGAGCCCCTGGGCACCAGTGCGGGCAGTCTGCTGCCGTGCATGGAGGCAGGTGGAGGGGCTCCTGTATTAGGTATCCAGGGAGGCCCTGCTCTGTCCACCTTGAGGAGCATGGGGAAGCTGAAGCCTGCCCTCTCCTGCCTTTGCCCTATTTAGGGAATGCTCACTGATCCTGTGAAGGGTAAGTTTGCTAGCATAGCCACCAAGACATTCCAGGAGGGTTGATTGGACCTCAGATCTGGCCATGGGGCTTAGGGTGGGTGACTTGGCTCCCCATTTGTAAAATGTGACTTGCGTAACAATCTGAGATAGCTTCTGGGAGGTGTGAGGCGTCTGAACCTGAAGAATTCATTGTAGAAGCCTGCTGGGTGGGAAGTTCTTGGTGTCCAGTTCACACACTCCATCTGAGCCTGAAGCCATGCTGCCACTTTGGTCCTGAGCACCCATCCTGCACAGAGACACCACGCTTGACTGCTTTCCCAGGAACGACCCTTGGGATGGAAGGATTTGGTGATCTGGGCTTTGAGAATGATCCTTAAAATTTAGATGGAACTGCCGACCGGCCAGAAACAGAAAAGGAGCGTGGGAGACGTCAGGGAAATGACTGCTGTGCACCAGCACACTGGAGAGCTGAGGTGAAGATGACAAATTCCTAGAGATGCTCAGGAGCAATGGGTCATCCAGTAGGCAGAGCCAGGAAAGAGAACCAGAGATCAAAACGCTCCCAGCAAGAGCCAGGCATGGTGGCAGACATTCCAGAAACGGGCAGGAAAATTACCAGGAGTTTGAGGCCCACTTGGGCTAGAGAGCAAGACCTTTTCCCTGTCCCCGCAAATCTGTCAACCAACCAGCTCGGCAGCTGAGGAACTGATGGGACAAACACTTGGTCATAGCTAAAAGGTGGAGAAGTGATTATGTCGTTTTCCTTTTAGACTCTCATGATTGTCCTTGGGCTG